CTCGCCCATCATCTATTGTTCTATTCAGAATCACCTAACTCACCTGTCATCATCTAATATTCTTCCCTTGGTATCATTCAATGCTTGTAACAAAGATTTCTCCAGTTGACGTAGACGCAAGTGAAATTCACCTTGAAGTTTTAACAAATCGGAACGTTTCTCATCAACATCTGGTCTCTCAGCTTTTAAAACCTAGAAACAAACATGACAGAGTTCCTGTATGATCAAGATCTAGGTCTGTAATGGAGGATTTTGATGACTTTTTAGAACAAAATTGTCATCTTCTATCGGATTGTGAAATGAACAGACGTTCATATGTCTCAAAAAATGTATTATGTGTGAAGTTCGAATGTGATTAACTAAAAGCATGTCAACGATACAGGTAGGAATGCACAGATGCATGCACCCACACACAGACAAACTGACACACAAAACACAAGTTCAGACTTCATCCAAAGAGTGGAAATGAATTGATAAAGTGGAAAGCATGGGTTACATTTTTCTTTTTTGCAATTGCAAAAAATTGTTCAAAAGTAGAATAATATACACTCACCTGATTCAGACACTGACTTTGTAAACTACTTCTTGTTACTGTGAAGTTAACAAATGTAACTCTGCTACAAATATCTGGAGGAAATTCAACCTAAAAGATATACACCATACAGCTTAGGAAATAAACATACTGAACATTTCCACTTTGTATGTTACGGCCAGTGTAATCATGACAACATTCTTCTAGGAAACATTTGACAAGAATACAACAATGATAATAGATTGAACTGAATACTTACTGTTGGATCTCTTGTTGACAGGAAAATTGTGAAAGCTGGCGACAAATCAATATCTTGATCACCAAGTGATATAAGTACACGTCCACCAGTACGACGCAATTCACGATTCAATACGGGATTCAGGATAGGATCATAGTTCTCTACATCCTACAAGTAGAAAACACTCAAATTAGGTACAAAATCAGTACCAGCAACACTTTCACATGATTCACATACGGTAGTGACTATTATAATTCTTTTTGCATGTCATCACAGACTGGCCATAAGTGACGTACTAACCTGTACTAGTAAGGGATTACCAAATCTCAGGGAACTCTCCAAGTTCTTTCTGAAGGCATCGTCTAGGAAACTGTAAGAAGTTATAAATTACAAATTGTAATGAGGCAAGCAATTAAGCAATGATTAAAACTGACTGGCACTTTATAATACACAATAGCAAACAGTCATGCATTTATTATGTCTTGACACTATTAGGATGGAAATATATAGTGAAATCACACGAAAAATTGGCCAAAATTAAATTATAAACATTTCCATTTTTTCCACTGGTTTCTGAGGTGAAATTATTTTCTTCAAATTTTGTTCTGTAACTCCAGATATGTATGGATGATTTTAACATTTTAACATGTTAAATCATAGACAGCTTAGGAAGAATTCCAAGTGTGCTGAGGTGATGGAGGAATGAAATGGAATTCAGGAATATTATTGTACCTGTTGAGTGGCTCTTTGAGATATGAGTACACACACTCCAACTCAGACAGGGTAACTACAAAGACTGAATGTGTGCTCCACCAGACGTTTAATTTAATTGGTTTTCAGGGTGATACTAGCAATTTTATTATTTTAGTGTTTTAATCTATTTCACGAACTCGACAGCGAAACTACTACAAGTTCTATTGTTATTTTACATGTTTAATTTGCATAATTAATAAGTTTACAGTAATAGTTATCTGAAAGTTTTCTCCTATAATACATTAAAACTAAAGTAAAGTAAAAAGTAGATATCAAATTCACTTAGTGTAGACATGCATGATACCCACCTAGTTTTAGTGATCTTTTTATGTTTATACTCATTCATGATGAATTCTGTAGCTTGACCAGATGGATCAATAATCAGAGGATATCGATTAAATCTCATTAACATAATGGCATTCTCTGTACAAAGGTCATCTGCTGGCAATGAGTTAGCTTGCCATCTCAGCCGTTCATCAGCATTTGATAGGTACTAGAAAACCAAAATAATCAAGGATTAGTAATTTTGATTCCAAAGGTTGATTTCTAACAATGATACAAAATAATTGACTTTTTAAATTAGAAAATGAGTTTTGAGACACTTTGTGAAACATTACCTCAGTTCTTGCAATATCAGATCTGAAATGAAGCATAGCTTGTTGTAGATGGGAACACCATGAAGTAAACAAATTCTGTCTCATTTGTTGGTCAAAGTATCCTGCATATGACATGAATGCTGAAGACAATAATACATCACCAATTATGGTAGCCATTTGGTTTTTAAATGTCTCACTACTTAGTTCCCATCGGTCACGTTCAATACTCAAACTGCGTAGCAAAGCTGTACTACGGTTCACCTAAAAAAAAACAGTGATTACAACAATATGAGATCTTTGTTTCATTTAATGTGCAGAAATTCAACAAATTCCCCCCAAAAAATTGGATTTGAGATTAATCAGAATTTAAAAACAAGCTGCCTGTCGGCTGAGATAGCTCGCTGTTATCAATGCACATTTCAATTAAAAAACTGAAGATATCATCAGAAAATGAACAATATGTATTAATAGTATTAAAGCAATCAGACTTGCTGTTTTCAACAAAAATTCGAAAATATAACTGTTTATCAAAAATATTCATCAAAATTAGATAATTGAAGAACAAAATCATCATGAAATGAACAAATCTGAGAGAGGTCTACCTGTAGTACCTACATACAAGGTATCAAAGCTAGCGGTTTTTAAGAAAAAGTCGAAAATGTTTAAGTTGTTGACAATGGCAACGACGGACAATCAGTAATACTATAAGCTCCGCTCGACTTGATCAACAGCGGGGCGGACAATTTTAAAAATATACCAATGACATACAATGATTAGATGAATTTAACAGTACTTCATAGGAATGAGATAAAAGACTGTCAAACAGCATGATGAATATATATCAGTTTTGACAAAGACATAACACACTGCAATACACCATACCTTTGTTGCTACAGACTCTAAATCAGCTTTTATAGCTTGTGCTTGGCTAATCAATTGTGCATATTCTTCTTTGTATCCTGCTATACTCCTTTCTAATGCAATTATAGTGTTTTCAACTTCCTCACCACGCAACTTAGTTTCTTCTGCCTCATCTTCAAGACTCTGTAGTTCATTACGTAATGGTTCAACTCTCTTCAACATGTCAGCATAACTGATCTGTTAACAATAAAATGCTGAATTAGTTACATACATGTCACAGGTGAATATATGGTCAAAATAAGCTATGTTTTTATACAAGTTGTATGTACTTCAAGATACACTGAAGTCATACATTCCTTATAGGATACATGTATTAACTCCGTAACTTACCTGTGCAATGGACCATTTTACGAGAGGACCACAGGCTTGACTCGCACGATTCACTTTCTCAAAACTATAATCAGGATGGCTCAAATATCTGCTTTTCATTTTTTCACGGATATCATCACTTAAAAATAAATAAAAACATCATGCATATTGCTACATACAGTGTAAAATATCACTACTTTGAATGATTTTGTCATGAGATAATAACAACCTTGTAATCATAGATAAAAGAAAGCTTAGAAAGAACTCCCGTGTGCTGAGAGTATTGAAGACACATTAAAAATTAATTCAAAATTACTTGTATTTGAGATATTGATGGAAAACTGAAAACTAATTATGTAAATCAGGTAACTACTATGAACAGATTTGAGTGTAAAACTAATAAGGTCTGCGTGATGTAATATCTATATACCAAGTTTCATTGAAATGTGATTAGAACAAAAAAACTATGAATTATTATTAGAGAATTAATATTAACAAATTTCAACTCAAAATTAATCGGGCCTGTCTATTGTCAGTGTTAATTAATTAGGTGATTAATAAGCATCAATATTTATGTGATGATGAGTACTCTTTAAAAGTTTCATTAAAAATCCAATTGGTGGTTCTTTATACATGTATATCAGTGGAACATTCATGGACAAAATTAACTAATTATGCTAATAAGTTAATTAATATGCACAAATATTACCCCAAAACTAATCAGGTCTCTGCACAGTCTTTGAGTAACTATGAACCAAGTTTCATTGAAATGTGAAGATTACTATATGAAATATCAAAAGCTGAAAATTAATTAATTATGCAAATTAGGTAATTATTATGTACTGATATTATCCTAAAAACTATCAGGTTTGTGCAGTGTCCTTTGACATCTATATACCAAGTTTTATTAAAATGTGATGATTACTACTTGAGATATCAGTGGAAAAGCCAAAAATTGATTAATCATTATGCAAATTAGGTAATTAATATTGCAGATTTTTACCCAAAACTAATCAAATCTGTGCATTAGATCAGAGCATCTATGTGCCAAGTTTTATCAAAATCCAATGAGTGGTTCTTTAGATATCAGTGGAACAGTCATAGAACAGCTAAAAATCAGCTAATTATCATGCAAATTAGGTAATTAATATGCATGGATTTTTACCAAAATCTAATCAAATCTGTGCATTGGCCCAGAGCATCTATGCACCAAGTTTCATCAAAAATCAATGTATGCACACACACACG